GCTGTTCATCTGAAATTGTCTCCCATTCAAACTTGAAATCTGCAATGTTATGTTGGGTTTCTGAGCTGGTAATGCCTTTTTGGGATTTGACGCCTGCCTGACCCAGATAAATCTCTCCCCAATAAAAAAAACATTACCACTGATATCAGTTAGAGATGTAGTCCTTCTGCTGAAATCACAGAAACCAGAACCATGCAGCTGATGTGAATTGGGCCAAGGTTGACTTGTTGGAAGACAGATATCGTTCAACTTGTTATCTTTTGACTTCAGAAAAGATGCTATTAAACCAGACACTATCGTCAAAAAGGACATTCTGGAGAAAGCAGATTTCTACGCACTGAACTGGAGAGTTTCTGAAGTTAGAATTGGAACGGACCTTCGGATTTTGTTGTCGTACCTGCTTCAAGAAAGAACTGGCGGTTTTAACTAGAAAACACAGTTTTGCTAGCATTCAATGAAAACCAGCCGAAGATTTTATGTCTATGCCTTTATTACCTCTAGATCATACTATTCCAGTACTCTGCTTCCATCCATCATGAACTTTTCTGTCCAAACCTGTCTGCTCATATCCTGATGCATATTATCTTTTTCACGCCCTTATCCTAACGTTTCCCAAGTCTCTTTCATTAATCAACACTGGGTCCTGATCTGGCAATTCTAAATTTTGCATCCTTTGGTAAAAATCCAACCACAATGGCCCCTCATCTACCCTATGTCTGATACCTTCACCAGCTCTGCAAACCTTTGAGATGTCAGTGTTCCTCAAATTCTTGTGTCTTGCATATCTCTGATTTTAGTTGTACTACCTTTAGCAGCTTTGCCTTCGGCTAGCAAGGTCACAAACTCTGATTTTCCCACCTTAAAGCTTTCTTGCCACTGTAAAGACATTCCATAAAATCCACATCTTTAATCAGGCTTTTGGTCATAAATCTTAATACCTCCTCAGGTGTTACTTTTGATAACACTTTTGTGAAGCTCCTTGGGACAATTTTACTGTGATAGAGATTCAATGTGAATAAAAGTTGCTGTTGTTGCTAGATTTTATCTTCATTTTAATAGGTATTAGTAACATTTTAATTTGACAAGCAGCCATTGTTAAGTTTACAATGAATGTTTATGTATAATTGCTGTGAAGTGCCCACAAGTAACAAAAGAATTCTGCTTAGAATGCTGGGAAGGACCATTTCTTGCTATCATGCACTGAATGCCGTATAACAGCATGGAATTAAGTTAACCATTCTGCTGAATTGCTAAAAGCATCAAATTCTTGGCCAATATTTCCCATTACCATATAAATAAAGCTCAAATCATTCAGAAAAAATAAGAAGAAGACAGATAAAGTAGCAAATTTAAGGCCCTGAGTTAAATGCTTGTTTATAACATACATGGTCATCCCCACTGTGCAATACATGGAGGCAAAATCCATTTGCAGGGGACTTATGATCATTAAAAGCAACTATAATTAAAGTGTTTGAAGTGAAACACGTGTTAAGGTTGTATAAATCAAACAGTAGTTGAAAGTAAAACAGTTATTTGTGAAAAAGTAATTATACTCTCTGTTACTATAGCTCCTAGAGCATTGAGCATAAAAGTAGAATCTGGATTCATTGAATCCCTACAGTGTGCAAACAGGCCTTTCGGCCCAACAAGTCCACACCGACCCTCAGATGCATCCCACCCAGACCCATCCCACTATAACCCACCTAATCTACACATCCCTGAACACTATGGGCAACTTAGCATGGCCAATCCACCTAGCCCACACATCTTTGGACTGTGAGAGGAAACTGGAGCATCCGGAGGAAACCCACACAGACACAGGGAGAATGAGAAAACTCCACACAGACAGTCACCCGAGGGTGAAATTGAACCCGGGTCCCTGGCTCTGTGAGGCTTATGTCTCAGTGATACAGAATATTGGTGAGACCACATCTTGAAAACTCTGTGCAGTTTTGGATTTCCTTATTTACTGAAGGATGTAAATGGATTGGAGGCAGTTCAGAGGAGGTTTACTAGACTGATAGCTAAAATGAATTGGTTGTCTTACGAGGATAAGTTGGCCAGGTTGGGCTTGTTTCCACTGGAGTTTAGAGGAGTGAGGGTTGACTTCATTAAAGTGTATAAGATGTCTAAATACAATGAAAGAATAAAGTAAAGTATCTAGGCATGAGTCATTTTGTATACCTTTGTATACATTCAAAACCAAAAGGATAAAAAAGCTCAACTATGAAAGAAATCTAAACTAAAGAAGCATAATTAGTTAGTAAGAATGGATCAGAAAATATCAACAAATGTAACGGAGCATGGCACAAGATTATCCACAATTGAGCTGAAGATAGTAATACACTGTGCTAAACAAACAGTCTATTCCTGTATCAATTAGATTATAAAACATTGGAGTAGAAGTCGGCCATTCTGCCCATCAATTCTTCTCCACCATTGAATGAGATCATGACTGATCTGATGATCCTCAACTCCATTTTCCTGTGGAATGGTCTTGCCAAAGTGGACATGTAAAGAGGCATTCCTCTGTGTGTGAATCCAGAACTGTTTTAATATTAGGGCCTACCCTTTTAGAACAAAGATGAGGAGAAATCCTTTCTCTTAAAGAGTTGTGCAAAATCTTTGTCTTCAAAAGTGAGGGAAGCAAGGTCATTGAATATTCTTAAGGCAGAGATAGACAGATTCTTGTAGGCAAGGAGTCAAAGCTTATTGCAGTTAATGGGAATGTAGATTTCAAAACACAAACAGATTAACGATAATCTTATTGAATGCCAGAGCAGGTATGAGGGGCTAAATGGCCTAGTTCTGCTCCAATTTCATATATTTGTATGTTTCTACACAGGACTGAATGATGTTGTTGGTTATATTATTTCTCTAAACCATTGACAGGGGAAGAATGGAACAGTAGACATTATAATTAAATATTTACAGTGACTACATTGTGATAATGCAGCAATCTTTGATCATATTTCATGTACCATTGTCTACTAGTTCATTTTCATTCAATCTCTGTAACTGCACTGGGAGACTTTATACAGCAGATTTATCAGCAAAACCCTTATTGTGAGGTAAAGCTCACTAATTTGTTAAGAGATAACTGGCTGAGTTGAATTACTTGAAATCTTAAGAGAGATGGGCTGTATCAATTAGCTCTCACAATTTGAAAAGCAGGAGAAAGACAGCAGTACTCTATATAGATATTAACTACAAAGCAACAGCTTATTATATAGATTGCAAACATTTATTGTTTTATTGGAGTATCTAGTTAGTATCTCTCTCTATAGATGATACTGCATATTCACTTTGCTCAATTAATTGTTAATTTGTACAAATATAAATTGCTATCTTTGCAATGATGATAAAGTACAGAAAAGGTTAATGTGGAGGCACAGGATATGGTCAATACACAAAACAATTAGAATATCATTTTTGGTTTAAATCTTCATCCTATATTTAAAAGCTTTGTCATCATTGGGACAGTAGTGCCATAGTTCTGTTATCACTTTGCTAGTAATCCATTGACTCAAGCTAATAGCTTGGAGTACGTATTCAAAACACACTGTGGCAGCTTGTGGATTTCAAGCTCAATTTTTTAAAATAAAATCTGGAAGATAAAGCTTGTCTCCTGAAACCATCAATTATGTTAAAACCCAGCTACCATTACTGATGTCCTTTATGGAAGGAAATCTGCCACTTTCATCCAACCTAGCCTAATACTGACTTGCAACTTTCACCTTAAGAGTGGTTACGGGTTGGTGACAAATCTTGCCATTGATGATCAAATCCAATGAAAGAGTAAAAAAAAAAGTACCTAAGCATGAGTCATTTTGTATACATTCAAAACTAAAAAGTGAAAAAAAACTCAACTGTGCAAGAAATTTAAATTAAAGAAGCCTAATTACTTCGTACAAGCAGATCAGAAAGTATCTACAAATGTAATGGAGCATGGCACAAGATTATCCACAATTGAGCTGACTATGGTGATTCTCTGTACCAAACAGGCAGTCCGTTCCTGCATCAATTACACTACAAAACATAGGAGTTGAAGTAGACCATTCTGCCCATTGATTCTGCTCCACCATTCAATGACGTTATTACTGACCTGATATTCCTCAACTTCATTTTCCCGTGGAATTATTTGCTGATGTACATAGAAAAGCAAAACTAATAACTGTTTTCAATTCATGAAAGCATGTATAACCAAATTCAGCTACAGGCATTTTTTCTTCCTGGCAGTTCATGCCAACGTACTGGGAAGCACCTAAATTTTGAGTTTCAATTTGGTTTCTCTCCCCAGCATTTACCCTCCTTTCCTGCTTTAACTTTTTCCTGGTGTGTATATAATTAAAAAGGGAATAAACACCGTCAATGTGCAATTAATGGTGGAGGCACCATGACTGACTACTATCATGTAAACCAGCATCAGTTGTCTCTCTCAAATGAGACAGTGGGGCTACGATGACTTTACCTTTCATTTACCCAATGTCCTCACACAGGCGTTTACTAAACGACATCATTGGATAATAGATCAGCATCCCACCTCCTGGTAGCTTTCCGCCTCCTCAGTTGAAGTGTGCTGAAAGGAATTGTAGGAATAAGATTTGAGTTCTCAATACAGGTCACCGGTCTCGAACCGTAAACTCCACAGATGCAGCCAGGCCTGCTGAGTTTCTCCAGCTGTTTCTGTTTTTGTTTATTTGAGTGGCTATTTGGTTTCTTGAATGTCCACATTTCATTCCCTTGAAACTGATATCAGAATGAAGAGGTGCACTAATTTCTTCTGGAAAATTCAGTACTATTAATAAGAGGCTCAAGAATTATTTAACAGTGAATATTAATCAACCAGAGTGCCTTACCACATCACATCTCCTAACCATTGGCTAGTTTGCTGCTTAATCTTATGTATAAAGTGAGGATCAGCAGGTAATCTTCGCACATGAGAAGCTGTTAGCTGAGTGTGTAAACTGGTAGCTTATTCTATATTTCACGAACACGTCATGGAGGAAACATATCTGGCAAATGTTGAAGGCATTAAAAAGGCAATTCTCCATGGAGGAACTGGCGAGCTGCCAAAATTTCTCACAGGATCCAAAGTAAGTTCAACTTAGTGTTCAGTATCATTTACTGAAAATGTAATGGGTTTTCAAAGGCCAATTCAATGCAGACAAAATAAATAAATGCAGAATATGTGTGAAGATTTACCTTAACAATGTATTTATAATTTCCATGTAATAACATTACTCGATTTAATATAATTTTGGCATGGTCTAGGCAACAATCTGTTTTAATAATTCAAATTCATTTTGAATTTTTATAGCTATTCAACTAGAGTTTTCATTTAGTAATTTAAAAGTACTTAAACCCAACATACATGTTCTTTTTAAAAAAATGTCTTAGATTGGAAAATGGTCAAATCTTATGTAAGTAAGAGAATAGAATGACCATAGGGCTGTTCTCTCACTAGAGACAGCCTCAGGCAAAGGAATTGAACCCACACTCTTAGTATCACTTTGTATTACAAACTACTGCCAATTAACTGAGCTATCTGACTCCCCAATTCTAGTTTGCTAAATTACTGAGTGGAAGTATTTTATTTTAACTTTGATGTAAAAAGCAATTCTATTAATTTTAAATATAGAATTAATACATGAAAGCTTGGAAACAATATTTAAATGTCATTTTATGGTTACATAAAAGCTCTTAGTGTGGTATTTTAACAAAATTGTTAACACATTTGAAGAAAAGATTGGATAACAACCTTGCCAACACAGCATCAGAAGTAAATAGGCACATACTTATAAACCATTGCACTTGCAGGGAACATATTATTCCCATATAGATATATTAATTGCAATATTCATTTACCAAAATTTTTTTGAAATGAAAATAAAAAAATAACTGGCTTTATTTCTTGTTACAAAGGTCACATTTCATTTTCGGACTATAAAATGTGATGGAGACCGAACAGTGATCGATGACAGTAAGCAAGTTGGCAGACCGATGGAAATAATTTTTGGCAATATGTTTAAACTGGAAGTTTGGGAAATTTTACTATCATCTATGCGGATTGGAGAGGTTGCTGAATTCTGGTGTGATGTCATTGTAAGTAGATTTGAGTGGTGAAGCAGTGAATTGATGTTACTGCGTCTAAAGGAAATGAAGTTCCTTGGTGTTTTGCATTAATCTTTAGATGAGTAATGCTGCTTGTCACAATGCTCCACAATCCATTTTTCTGTTTAGTCATTAATTCTGATCCTTAGGCAGGAGTAAGCAGATTAAGCTAAGCTGCCAGCATATGGACACACTATAGCTGTGAAAGAATGATTTGAAGTCACTTCACACACCGTGGCACTCAAAAAGGTGAATGAGACCATTTTAATGCATAAAAATTGGTACACAGATTCTTCCCCCACCCCATAAAAAAATTTTCAATGCTTTAAGTTTGACAAAGTAAATCATTGCCAGTACTTTACACTTAAAATTAATCTGGAATCCCAGATATCCTTAACTTCAGGATTATGCAGTAGGAAACAACTTTTACAAAAGAATTGTTTTAATTAAACTGTGCTGATGCTTATTTGTTTTATTACATAAACTAGAAGTAATTTAGTCAACATTTGAAAACTGTGTTTCGAAGCTGGTGTCTTGGACAGATAATTCTTCCAAAAGGAGCAAAACAATTTAATGAATAGAATATTATGAATATACTTCAAACAGGAGCACACAGAGTTGTTCTTTAGGTTCAGCTGGCACTTCCCCTTAGTCACTGAGGCCAGGAATGTGACCTTTTATCAGGTTTTCATTACTGCCCTTTTATGCTGGCCACCAAGCCTGAAAACATCAAAACCTATGTTTTTATTTTCTCCTCTTTTTGACTGCTCAGAAAGGATGTGTGGCCTTGGTTCATTTCTTGGAGCGTAACAGAAAGTGGATTGGAACAGTGTCACCAAATGATCTCACGGCAAAATACACTGTAAACCAATGTATTCCAGTATCATTCTACTGACAAATGTGTGACTCTATATCTTGTGCTCCTATGATCTGTCCTTTGATACTATTCACAAGTTACAGATACTCTGAAAGAAGAGCAGTGAAATATGAAGCTGAAAATTTTATGTTGGGAGTTAGAAACAGGACTCTAAATTGTTTCTGAGCCCTGATCCAGCTCCTTGGGGAAGGAAACTCTAACTTAGTTTTTAAAGAATATCCCTCCACCCTACCCCAATTGGCATGGAGATAGGCTCACCATCCAATAAAGGATGACATGGTACCTTGAAACTAGAAGCCCAACCAGATACCTTCCAGTTTAAGACAAGCAGAAGTCTGCAGTACAGGGTGAGTAACTGAGACGGTGCATCAAAATGGATGTGCCCGATACGAGCTGTTCTAAAACTTCAAATAGGAGAAGCATACAACAATTTCTGTGTTAACAAGGTGTAGAGCTGGATGAACACAGCAGGCCAAGCAGCATCAGAGGAGCAGGAAGGCTGACGTTTCGGGCCTAGACCCAAGAAGATGCTGCTTGGCCTGCTGTGTTCATCCAGCTCTACACCTTGTTATTTCAGATTCTCCAGCATCTGCAGTTCCTACTATCTCTGAAACTATTTCTGTGTGTTGTGAGGGTTGGGAGAAATCCCTGGACAAGATTGTCTTTGACTACACCTGCACACAGACAGGTATGTGGTCTCTAGGCCTGCCTGGAGTGTTGGTTTGCCAACCTGCCAATGGATGCCCATCATTAGGCTGCCCCCATCTCTAGGTAAACACCACTGTACCCCCTCCCCCACCCAGTCAGGTTTTGGAAATTGGAAGCCAACCAAAAGTAGCAATCAGTCTTCTTCCAGGAGCTGTTAAGAAAGCTCTTAAATGGCCAGCATGGCAGAGTGCCATATAAGTCGACTGCATTATTTTCAGGTTGATTCTATCACCTTTAGCAGGACCTGAAAATTCAAGCCACAATGTCAATAACAATAGACAGCCAATTAATGAAGAAATGTTTGGCAGGTTTTATATATGAGTATATCATCCTGTGGATTAGTTGGGTATGTGGACTCACAGCAGAGATTTCCTTGTTTCTTTGAGGTTAAACTGCAGGAGGAGCTAAGTAGCTGCCAGTGGTTTATGCCAGGAAATAGGCCATTTGCCTGTTGTTATTGCCAGGTCAAGGTACAGCAAAAGAGGAAAGTAACATTTTAAAATGGAGCAAAATTAAATGGTAAAATGTAGTGAAAGGTTAAGAGAGGAGTAAACTATTTAAAGGGTGAGTAAACTTTACCAGAGTTACCTCTAACAGTACATTGTGGGTGGGCTGCTGTGCCTGTTAAATCAGATCAAGGTTATTAGCATCCAAATCTTCATAAAATAATTACTCATTTTGGCTGTATTCACATTCTATTTCTCATTGGATATTGCCTGTTGTATGACACTTATATTTTATATTAAAATATAAACAACTATATTTTATTGTAAATGCATCTTCTATGTGTGAACACAATAACATTGATGGTACAAATGGAGTAGCCCTGAAACCTACGCTGCTCTTCAAACAGCGAATCTGTGATTGTTAACATGGAACTAGTCTGCAACACGGTAAGTAATAGATGGAAATAACAATTTGCAAAGGCCTTTCTTGTACACATCTGAGTCATAGACTCTATTGTAATCTTTCCTGGGTAAACAAACTTCTTCTTTATCCGAACCAATTTTCTAGTTACTTTTGAGGGTTTCTTTCTCATATCACGCTATTTGTGAAAATGCATCACATGGGTATCATTAGAAATGTTAAAAGTGGAATAATTGTTTCTTCCTCCCCACACCCCAACCAACAGCACACTGGTCTGTATCCAACTGTAGCAAAGAGTCTGCGTATGATTGTAGAAGGGAAGGACCCGACAGACTGGCATGTTCATACCTGCGGCCTTGCCAATATGTTTGCCTATCACAGCCTGGGATATGATGATCTGGATGAATTGCAGAAAGAGCCTCAGCCACTTATCTTTGTAATGGAGCTGTTAAAGGTAAAGACTGATCTGTTTATTCTTACCTCTTAAATCACAATTCAACACCACTAGTGAAATTAGTCCTGCCAATGGATTATGTAAGCTTTCTTCTTTTTTCCCACTAAAGGCCTTCCTTACTTCTGTTGTCGATGCTCAGTGTTGTGGCTTATCTAAACCTTCCCAGGTATAAGGAATGGGTGAGTAGGGATGCTTCCTACTACCAGCTCCTTCTCTAACATTAACCAGAAAGATGTTTTCAAGACCAATCTTTACAGTGATATCTGCAAAAGCCTGGATGTGAGAGAGGGAGTGAATTTTCCCTCCCGCAATTGGCTGCACAGCATTCCCAACATCTCAAATCTGGCTCAGGAGATGGTTTGGATTCTCTCTCTGAGGAGCTAATTGGAGTCGGGCCTGCCACCCTCTGGAAATAGTGTAGGGATAGCCAGCGGGGCTGCTGATTGTCAAGATGAGCTCTCTAAAAAGGACTGCCTTAGTGCTCTGGGAGTTTGTCTCAATTATATTAAAAACAGTAAGGCCCTCTAGAACTCATGCCTCACAATCCAGACATGCCTCATGGCCCATCCATGCTAACTCATAGTCCCTATCCATCCTCTTCACAGCCCTCCATTGCCAAGTTAACTCCCTCTCCCCAGGCCCCATGGTTATTTATACCTTCCATGTCAACCTTTACACCCTCACTGATGCCCAAAGTCCTTTTGGGTCCCTCAGTCAAATTAGCATGGTTCATGCCAACTCAGGATTTACCATAAACTGTTCTTTGGTTTTGTACCCTCCACCCCAACTTTTATAGAACCGTTGAACCCCATGCCACTAATGTGACCTCAGAGGGTATTCACTTCCTTCTCCTTCTCAACCCCATCTGGGTACAGGATTGACTTCTGACCTTTGTGTAAAGTGAGGCTGATGACTTGGCGAGACTGGGGTTGGGATGTCAGCGTTCATTCTTACCACTTCAATTTCCTCTTCTTTCCATTTGTTGTACATCCATTTCAAGGAACAATTCAAGAATTGTGTTGGCTCTGAATTAAGACCTTCTCAAATAAGGGTGTAGGGTGCAAGGGGAGTGATGGTTAGGGTGACCCTTCAAGGGTCTGGACAGCAGGAATGTTATTCAGCCATTCCTTTGTGTAGGAGAGCTTTCTTCTTTTTGCCTAGAGGTTTCTATTGCAGGAGGGTCAAAACATAGTGGTCTTGGACTCTAGGCCTGGAACGATACTCCATTTTGTTCCCCTTCTTTCTGGTTCCAATCCCTCCATGTCTACCACACCAAATCCAATTCCCTATAAACTGGATGGTACAATGCAGGTTGGATGCATGGTGACTGTCAAGCGATGGGCAGAATCAGTGTTAAGAAAGCTAACTACCCCCAAAATCTTCAGTTACTGAGAAACAATTTGGCAAATGAAAACAATTTCAAATACATATTTGGTGATTCAATTAATTAATGAACAAACTCGTGGTTAAGTTGACAATAGGAACACTCTGAATAGGAAATATGGACAATAAGAATGCATATTGGTCCTAAGGTATACTTGAAGTGTGCTAACAAGTAGATAAGGTGATAAAGAAAGCATATGGCATGTTTGCCTTTATTGGTCAGGGCATTGAGTAGAAAAGTCAGGATGTCATGTCGCAGTTTTATAAGACTTTGGTTAGGCCACGCTTAAAGTATTGTGTTTAATTTTGGCTGCCACATCACAGGAAGGATGTGGAGGCTTTGGAGAGGGTGCAAAAGAGGTTTAGTAGAATGTTTCAGAGATATTAGGAACTGCAGATGCTGGAGAATCTGAGATAACAGGGCGTAGAGCTGGATGAACACAGCAGGCCAAGCAGCATCAGAGGAGCGGGAAGGCTGACGTTTCGGGCCTAGACCCTTCTTCAGAAACGTCAGCCTTCCGGCTCCTCTGATGCTACTTGGCCTGCTGTGTTCATCCAGCTCTACACCTTGTTATTTAATTAGGTTGACAGACAGAATCTTTTTCCCAGAGTTCAAATGTCTCATACGAGGGAGCATGCATTTAAGGTGAGAGGGGAAATGTTCAAAGGAGATATGAGATTCAGGTGTTTTTTTATACAGGGTATGGTAGGAGTCTGGAAAGCACTGCCAGGGTGGTGGTGGAGACAGATACAATAGTGGCATTTAAGGGGCTTTTATATAAACACATGAATATGCAAGGAATTGAGGGATATGGACAAGGGAAGGCAGAAGGGATTAGTTTAATTTGGAGTTATTTCAGCACAACATGTGGGCCAAAGGGCTCGTTCCTGTGCTGTACTGTTCTGTGTCTGTTGTTACATGAAATACATGCAAATTAAAATTTCCAAGAAGGCAGTTTTCTACTGTAATTACAGTTGCAGCACCCAGTAGTTTATTTCAGTATTTGAATTAATAACAAAAATATTTTGTGTCTGCTTGCTTTAAAAATAACCAGGAATGTTTCATTTTAATCATGTAAAATGCACTTTTTAAAAAAAATTAGATTGAGTCTCCAAGCTCTTACAAACGAGAAACATGGGCCATGAATGATGACGAGAAACTTAAAGCAGTCCCACTTCTCCATGGAATGGGAAACAGACTGTACAAACTCGGCAGGTATCAAGATGCTTTGGCAAAGTATCGCGAGGCAGTCATCTGCTTAAAGAACCTCCAAGTAAAGGTATCTAACCAACTAAAGTGAAACTTTCATTGCTCAGTAGTCACCATGAATTCTTGTAGTACATTGCTGCGTCCATTTCTAATGATTCCAAAATTACTTTTTACTCATGCATGGGACATGGATGTTGCTGGCTAGGCTAACATTTCTTGTCCAACCCTAGAATATTTAATCTCTACTGAACTGTGGTTTGGTACAACTGATTGGCTGCCTCAGTAATTTCAGAGAGCCTTTGAAAGTCAACCACATTGCTGTGGGCCTGCAGTCTATATGTAGATTAAATCAGGAAAGGATAGCACGTTGCCTTCCTTAAAGGGCATAAATGAATCAAATAGGATTTAATAACTATCAGTAGTAGTTTAATGGTCATGATTAGACCAGCTTTTAATTCCAGATTCATTAATTGAACTGAAAATTTCATCAGATGCCATTAGAAATTTGAGCTCATGTCCTCAGATCATTAGCCTGGGCCACTTGGTCATCTGCTCAGTAATAATATTAAGGGTTATGTTTGTTAAATCTTAAGCCCTAATGGCAATATTTAAGTATGAGTTTTAGTTACTGAGATTGAGAAGCTCAAGAGTCTTCAATCTAAAGAAATTTGCATTAGCTTTATTGGTTAGTGATACCAATATTCAAACAGCCTTGGTGCAGCACTCCTCTGATTCACACTGTGAACTATCTCTCTCTGTATGTCTGCTAGAGGCTATTTTAGACTCTGATCTCTGCTGCTGTTACACAAATCCGTGGTCTGTGATGAAAGATACATGGGCAGGTGGAACTGCTATTGATGCATTGTCAGTGCTGAATGCCTGTGTACTATTATGAAATTGTTTGGCTTCATGCCACAAATATGTAGATAACCAAAACTGACTCTACACAGATAACAGGTAACAAACAGGTTTAGACATGTTAAGTGAGTGGGCAAGAACAAAGCAGATGGATTATGGTGTGGATTAGTGTAAGGTTATCTGTATTGGTAGGAGAAACAATATATTTCTTAGGAAGTGAGAGATCGAAAAGTATTGATGTCCAAAGGGACCTGAGTGTGCTTGTTCACAAGTTTCTGGAAGCTAACATACAGATGAAGCAAGCAATTAGGAAGGCAAATGATTTGTTGGCCTTTCCAACAGATGATTTGAATACATGAGTAAAGTTGTCTTCTGTAATATGGAACCCTGGTGGGACAACACCGAGAATATTGAATACTTTTGGCCCCCTTACCTAAGGAAGGATATACCCACCACGGATGGGGCTGAGGTTCACTGGGTTAGTTCCTGGGTTGAGCAGTCCATCCAATGAGAAGAGGTTTAGGAGGCTAGGCCTGTATTCTCTGGAATTTTTGGTGATGAAAGGTCATCTCGTTGAAACTTACAAAACTTGTTAAAGGGCTAGACAGGATAGATACTGAAAGGCTATTTCCTCTGTTGAGGTAGCTGGGGTTATATAGAATTAGGGGACACAATTTCACAATAATGGGTAAACTATTTAAGATTGAGGTGAAGAGGATTTTCTTGATTCAGAGACTTGTGAATTTTTGGAATTGTCTACTGAGGAGGGCTTTGGAACCTCCTGAAAGTCCAGGGATAGTGCAGGAAAAAGGTGTTGAGACAATCATCAGCCAAGTCCTAGCATGGTGGAACAGGCATAAGATGCGATATGTGATGGAAGGTGCCAATCCAACTGTAGGTCACAAGTCCCAGGCATGAAAGAAAAGTTCTCAGATTGTGGGCATGCTGACAAGGCTGTGTTTTACTGCATTGCCTAGCTGCCCTTGTAATGTGAGAATGTGTCTTTCCCTCAGTATCTGTGGTCCTTGTGTTAGAGATGCTCCTCATATGCCAATAGGGAGATTACCAGGATTTTGACCCAGTGACAATGATGGAATGGCAAAATATTTCCAAGTCAGGGTGATGTGTGGTTTGTTGGTGATGACAAATGCAAGTAGCTGCTGGACCTGCCTGACTTGAAAGTGTTAATCCATAAGCATCTCCTACTATGATGATATTGTATAGACTTGCGGGATGTACAGCCTGGGAAAATTCGAAAGGAGTGAGATCCAACATCTGGCCTTCCCCTAATCTCTGTAACCATGTCCATCATATGAATGTACCCTGTAACTGGCTAGTAAAATGCAATAAATATATCTTGTTAACAACAACAGACACTGCCAGTTAGACCAGGAAGTGTTTTTTCCTGTACCACAGTAGACTAAGCAGACGCTATGGTTTCCCACTCTTAAAGAGGTAGCAGCAACCTTCATCATGAGCAATTAACACAGTGGAGTGAGCTGGCATGCTGTTACAACACTGCCCTTCCAGATGTCAGTAGGTGGTTTTGGTGAGCTAAGTTTGATCGAGAAAATTACTATGCATGAGGACTTATCTTTTCCATCTCTTATAGTAAAATGGAAGTGCCTTCTAGAAGTTCTAAATTTCAAGCCATGTGCTTAGCATAATGTAATTAGTATAGTAAGGTATTGGGTACAGTAATATATTGTGGTATAAAATAATATAATAATTACATGATAATTACAAATTATAGTAATTTTGAGGTCTGTGGTAGTCTTGGAGTACAATTATGTTGTAATGTATTGAGTGTTCAATGAAGTAGGTAAGACAATAGAGTAGGTGCGAGACTGATCTTACAACATAGAGCTTGTTCATTCAAATTCCACTATGGCAAGTTGTGAAATTTAATTCGATAAATTGTGGGCTAGCATGAAAAAAAATCACAAGTATCGCAATGCTCAACTTGCCTTACCCCATCACCACTCACTGTGAGTTACATATGACTGAACTCTACATCAGATGGCTAATTTCTAAAGTCCTCTGAGGCCATCAAGTGAGACACTCGACTGCACAACCAATTGTAAAGGTTTGCCACTAACTAGGGATGGGCATGAAATGAAATGTGGTTTTTCAATGGCACTCACGTGCTGAGGATATAAAAGAATAAGTCATACAGATAGCAGACACTTTCAGAGTTAGAGTTGGCAATCTGCTGGCATTTTTAAACATAAGTATACTTCTTAATGGTTTTGGGTTTGAGGTTTTGATGGAAGCTGCTTTCGGTGATGAAATGTTTGTAAGTTAAATATAGCTGGACTTTACAAAAGGCTGCTTCATGTATTTGTCACTGCAAGCATCTAGAGCCTAGTAAATGTGGATCCTGTGATATTGCCCATCAAACTGACACTGGCTCTGCCCACCCTGGGTACTGTTTCCACCATTTTCTGATAGCATTCACATTTAGAGACAGAAGGTGATTGTAGGAATTGCAGCTCACGGTGGGCATCATCTGCACCAGGCCCTGTCCGGTCACCAGATGTCCCACCAAGAGCCTTCGTGTCCCCTTTTACCTTGCAGCACACTGACAGCCCATTTCCACCCATTCCCCTACCCATCATATTGAACTTCACCTCCAACTGTCATCCTTGCCCCTTGAACCACATAATCATGCCTATCCTGCTTCTCTCTGCTCTTCTGCAGAGACCATAGTGCTGGTCACAGTCACTGACCACCCCCAGCCTCATAACCTACCACACCCTTTGATGTGGTTTCACATGCCCCCCCATTCACCTTAGGTATCCCTCGTCACCATCCTTGTCCCTGCCTCCACAAATACCTCTGACTCCCCCCACCTCCAGCTGTGACACCCCTACCCTTTCTGGCAGGGATTTCTCCCAATTGCCCCTACAGGACCACAACTTGGAGCCTCCCGAATGATTAACAGATCGACAGCCAGGTCTGTATTGTCCCCAGAGATCTGGCTTACTCCAACAAGAAATCACTAGTCATGAATGAGCAGACCCCCGACCATTGTGTTTGAAGCTCCTCGACTAACACTATGTGATTCCCTAACTGCTGCTGTTGGAACTGTAGGACTGAGCACTGCCCAGTCCCCAGGCTGAACTGGGACCATTTCCCTGACCATGCACATCCCAAGTGGATGACAGACAATGGCCAAGCTGCTGGACTGTGTGCAGACTCAGCATGTGACTGGGATGCCTGACACGACTGGATGAGGATTAGCTGTAACCACTTTCTGATGGAACCATTTGGTTGAATGAACATGCAGTGTGTTTACCGTGCAGGCAATGTCATCTCTCGGTGTGCCATGCAGCAAGTTAGCATTACTCACCACCTCCCATTGACATATACTTACTGACAAACAGGACAAGCTGCCTGAGTGTCTGTGCTAAAAAAAAGTACCTTGATAGGGCAGTATGGATAGACTTTGGTTCTGGCTGAATTGCCAGTGCATGGTTTGAAAAAGGCAAGGCAAGGGTGCTGTGAGCATGTAGGTGGCACGAAGTGAACGGCTGCTAAGCGAGCAAGTGAGCAGCCCCGAGGTGTATCCTGGTCCAATCCTTCAGCCGGGTCCAGTCCATGCATATGAAGTTCCCCTGCTGCAGCCTTTCAATGCTAGTTACCAGTGGTCCCAACAAGCAGTGTGCAAGTGTATTGCAGAGGTGCCATGATGATTGCGATGTGTTGGCACAAATGAGATGCCAATGTCTATTGCCAGGTACCCGCTCTGGTTTCCATGTTGAGTTTTCTTGACATCTAGCTTGTTCGATGAATGTGATAAGATAGAAAGCCAAACAATGGGTTGAGTTGGACCATCAACAAATTGTTTTAGAAGAATCCCCTGTAATTAGCAACTCGACACTGCCTGGTTAGAAACATGTCAAAAGCACGAAAGATGAAATGAAGTGTTCCCAATATAGAGATGGGTCTTGCTGGACTTCTCGTTCAGTTCTGTCTCAAATATTGCCATAGCCCACATTTCTCAGACCTCTATAAATGTCTTCCCACAGTGTTCATACGCTAGCAATGTACATCAAATGACGTTTTGAATGCATTAACAGCTGGTTCAATGCTGAATTGTGTAATGCACAAACTGACACATCAGCTACTGTGTCACATATTATAAGGGTCAACATATAACCCGCCAGATGAAGAAGGGAAAATGCTACCTTTAGATTACATGGTTACTAAGGCACCCAGGGTTAAGCATTTGATTCCTGGATAACTTTAGCTTTAGTAATCTTTGTCGCCTGTATTTTTCAATTCATTCTACATCAGACTATAGAGGAAGTGTCAAATGGAAATGTGACTTTTCAATTTTATCTAGAAAATGTGTCACGTTGAATCACATTTCCTGGTAGCCAAATATATTATAGAGTTGTTAGCGCCTGTGGAAAGGTGCAATCAAACTATTCCATGATAACTCTCCACCCCACTGACTTTGTTGTGTTGTTTTTCCCTTTTTTGAAATCCCAAACATTACACATCCCCCATGATTTAAAACATTATTACTTGAAACAAGATGTTGGAGAATAACTTCTGTCTTTAATGTTAGCAAAAGCCCTGGGAAATTGAATGGCTCAAACTGGAGAAGATGATAGTCACATTAGTTCTGAATTACTGCCAATGTCTTTTGAAAATGGAAGAGTACTATGAAGTGTTGGAGCAAACAACAGATATCCTCAACAACCATCCAGGTATGGGCAAACCACCAAGATAAATTACAGAAACTTGCTATTCAACTTTGCAGTAAATTCGTTATAATGAAAATACTGAACGTTTAAAACTTTCTATGGTGAATTCATAAAACTGCATCAAGTCTTTCTCCCGATTGCATTATGTTCACTCTTAAGACAAGGATCCCATGTCTGTGCTCTGTGAGCATTCAAGGAGAGTTTTGTAAATGTTGCCACTGTTCCAGAGTACCATAGGTCTTCTCTCATTAGAGAGATATAACTAGTGGTGAATTTAACTTGAGCTTCACCATGCTTCAGACAATGGGACAGCTTGAAAAACAGAATTCTTCTTGGTAACCTCAGGCAGTACAGGATTTGTCCCAACAGTGGAGTTGGGATTGGAAATTTACCATCAAGACCCAATTTCCACAAAATCTGAATCCTAAGCTTCTTTCCACATACGCTTGCGGAAAGTGTGCCAAAGTGATGAGCAGTGCTTCCTGACATTAATACTGACGTTCAAGACACATGTTAATTTATGACAGCAGAAATTTATCACATAAAGTACATTGAAATATTAATGATTTTTATCTAAGCCGCACTAATTAAACTGTGATAATAGATATTGCACTTTTACGATTATGGGATGAGCAATTGTCAACTCCCTTTAAACAATCAGATTACGAGAGGAAGCCCATCATAATTTTAAGCTCAGAACTTTGACCCTTGAGATCCAAGTGACCACTGTCCCTCAAAGTACCATGTAGTAGAGAGTATAAGAATAGAAGGATGGAGCAAATGAATCCACTGCAGGCATGATGGGCCGAAAGGCCTCTTTCAACACCATGACAGTTCTTGATACTGTGAATGTGTGGCTGGAGAGATGGTGCAGGAGGGAAAGCTATAGATTTCTAAGGCATTGGGAGCATTTCTGGGGGTGGTGGGATCTGTACAAGTTATTTGGCTTACATCTGTACAGGAATGGGTCCAACATTCTTGTGGGTTGTTTACTAATGTTGTTGGGGTGGATTTAAACTAGATTGGCAGGGGGGTTTGGACCCTGAAAGTAGTTTAAAGGTGAGAGAAGCTGAGATGGCAATAGAATTAAACATGAAAAATTGAAGCTAGAGCACAGAAGAAATATAGCCTTGATAAGAAAAAGGTGAGTTTAACAACACTACATGTAATATATTTTAATGAAAGGTGTCTGACTTTAAGACAGATGAGCTGAGGCACACATAGACATGTGGGAGTATGATATCACAGCTGTGACTGAGACTTGGCTGAAAGATGAACAGGATTGGCAGCTCAACAGTTTTGGTTATAGGGTATTGAGTCGAGATAGAGAGGGGGAATCAAAGATAGTAGGAACTGCAGATGCTGGAGAATCCGAGACAACAAAGTGCAGGGCTGGATGAACACAGCAGGCCAAGCAGCATCATAGGAGCAGAAAGGCTGACGTTTCGGGCCTAGACCCTTCATCAGAGAAGGGGGAGGGGAAGGGGGTTCTGAAATAAATAGGGAGAGAGTGGGAGGCGGATAGAAGATGGATAGAGGAGAGGATAGGTGGAGAGGAAACAAACAGGTCGAAGAGGCGGGGATGGGGCCAGTAAAGATGAGTGTAGGTGGGGAGTTAGGGAGGGGATAGGTCAGTCCAGGGAGGACGGACAGGTCAAGGGGGCGGGATGAGGTTGGTCGGTAGGAGATAGGGGTGCGGCTTGAGGTGGGAGGAAGGAATAGGTGGGAGGAAGAACAGGTTAGGGAGGCGGGGACGAACTGGACTGGTTTTGGGATGAGGTAGGGGGAGGGGAGATTTTGAAGCTTGGGAAATCAAAGTTGCTTGATCAAGGAATTAGTTATAGCAGTGAGAAGGAATGATACCTTGAAAGGATCGTCAAATAAGGCCATATAGGTAGAAGTAAAAATCACATTATGCCCAACACGCTGTATGGTATGTACTATATGCCCACATAGTCTGGGAAAGATAAAGTGTCAAAATGTAATAAAATTTCAGACAAGTGTTAGAATAATAAGGCATTAATAGGTGGGATTTTAGCTATCCAAATATTAACAGGGATAGTTTAGTGTGCAAGGTAGGGAGGGAATAAAATTTTAAAATTGCATCCAAGACCACTTTTCATGACAGTATGTAAAAGCTCAACAAGGAAATGTCTAATCCTGGTCTAACATTTAGAAATGAATTCTGGCAGGTGGAAGGTGTATCAGTGAGCAATTATTTTGGAGATCACAGCCATAAATCAGTTAGATTTAGGATAGATATGTAATAGGATAAGGATAGGATGAGAATAAAAGTCCTAAACTGAGGGGAGGATGATTTTGCAAAGATAAGGGATGATTTAGCCCAAATGGACCAGGAGCAGTTATTTGCATATAAGAATGTAAGAGCAGTGAAAGGTATTCAAGGAAGAAATAGCGAGAGCACAGGCCAGATATGTTCACACAAAGACAATGGGTGGGACCAAGACAGGAGAATCCTGGATATCCAGAGACATAAAGGTTAGGTTAAGAAAATTAAAGAGAAGCTTGTGTCGGATACTAAAGTCTATAGATTCCCTTGAGGAGTATAAAAAGTGCAGGGTATTTTTTTAAAAGGCAAATTAGAAAAGTGAAGCAAGTCTATCAGGAAGCATTACAGGTAGAATAAAGGAAAATCCAAAGAGTTTTTTTTATTAAATATATAAACAGCAAGGACATAACTAGGGAAAGATTATGGGCAAATACTGAAGTAATCTATGTTTTACCCGAAAGATGTGGGCACAGTCATCAATGAATGCTTTTTGTCAATCTTCATGATGGAAAAGGATGTTGTGGGTAAAATATCAAGGTGGAGGACTGTGAAATATTAGACTGAATTAATATAGAGTGGAGGAGTTTCTATTTTGTGTAGCAACCCAAAACATGGCTAAATCCATAGATCTGGATGGGATGTAATCCAAGCTGTTGAGAAACGTAAGAGAGGCAATGTGAAGGGCCTTGGCTGTTAGTTTCAAAATCTCTCAGGTAACAGGCGTCAGATGCCAGCACATTGGAGGACCGCTGATGTTGTGCTGTAATTAAAAAGGAGAGAGCATAATCAAGATGATCGCTGATGACACTAAAATTAGTAGGGTGGTAAATAGTGAGGAGGATAGCCATAAACTGCAGGAAGGTATCAATGGACTACTCAGGTGGATAGAACAGTAACAAATACAATTTGACCCAGAAAAGTGTGAAGCAATGCCAGCATTCCCTCTACTTTTCTTCCTTGCTGCACAGGCCTTCGAGGTCCATGTACAGCAGTGACTTCTGGAATCAGAAGGCAATGATGTGATTAGCATGCCGAATGCTGATCACTGTGTGTAGAACTTGGAGTTGGTGCACACTTTGGGTAATCCATTTCAGGAGGGCTAACAAGACCAGGAATTACATCATGACTGGTGGGAGCCATGAAAGTACTGGATATCAGATGGACTTTGCTGGGCCTATTCACAGATCCTTGAAGGTACCAGGGCAGGTTGCTATAGTAGTTAAGAAGCTATATTGGATCGCTGCCTTTATTAACAGAGGTATAAAATATAGCAGCAGAGTCTCTAAGCTCAACTGCATAAAGCACTGTTTAGGACACAACTGGAATACTGTGTGCACTTCTGGTCACCATGTTACAGGAAGGATGTGATTGTATGACGGGTGCAGAGAAGATTTATCAGCACGCTGCCTTGATGGAGGGTCTGAGCTGAAGGGAAATATTGGATAGACTGGGTTTTCCATAGAGCAGTGAAGGTTGAGACAGGACCTCACAGAGGTGTATACGTTTCTGAAAACCATAGGTAGACTGGGTAGAAAGACACTTTTAAAGTTAGTACAGGGGTCAATAACCTGGGGGTATAGATTTAAGGTAAAAGATAGAAGGGAGAGTTGAGAAGAATTTTTTCACTGAGAGTTGTGGAAATCTAGATCTCACTGTTTCAAAGGATGGTTGAGTTGGAAACTCTTGTAACATTTAAGTAGTATTTGGGTATTCCCTTGTGTTACCATTGCCTTGAGGGGTATGGACCAAATGTTTGAAAATGGGATAAGTGAAGTCAGGTCTTTGTAGATTGATGCAGACACAATGGACCAATTAGGCTTCTTCTCTGCTGTAAGTCTATAAGTAATCAATCAGATTTCAGATGAATCACAAGAGTAACTGATCAGGTTTGTCACAAAACCATGTTTAAGACAACCAACTGTTAGCATAATTCCTTCTTAGCCCTAAATCTTCTACCAATTAGAACAACAATGGCTGTAAGTTCTGGTAAACATTATAGCCTCCAAGTTCCCCAACAAGAAACATGCCATCTTGAAAGAATGCAAGAAACATAGAGAGGATGGGAAGCACACTGAAGAAAAAAATGACTCAAAGGAAAAAGGAAGAGAAAACGACAAGGAGAACAAGAGTCAAAGAGATGAATGACAATTCATGCACACAAAGTGATGAACCCAAATGGTTACATTTGTGAGCATAAAACAGAGAGAACATAAACACAGTTGTCTTAATTCTATCTCTAAGCATTGCTAATGGAGGACATTGTGCAATCTTATTTTTCAGTATTCCCTGTTTGATTTGCCTAAAACAGTGCAGAAAATGTAGCTGATCCTCTATATTTTCCAAGTCTAAATTTTCTTGAACCACTATCTTCCTTTAACAGGTAACATAAAAGCCTACTTTCTAAGGGGAAAAGCTCACGCAGAGGTATGGAACAAAGCAGAGGCTACAGCAGACTTTGAAAAAGTTTTAGAATATGACAGTGGAATGACCAAAGCAGTGAGGAAAGAACTACAGATCCTTGACTCCAGAATGAGAGATAAGCAGGAGGAAGAGAAGCTGCAATTTAAGCGAATGTTTCACAAATGAATTTGGCATATCTGTGATCAACAAATGATTATAATGTAATCAATAAGATATTACAGATAGTAGTTTATGTGTTTTTGGGGTGGACTTTCCTTAATGGGCACTGCTTTGTCTTGTGTAAGATAATTTTGAAATATGGTGAGCTAATTTAAATGTAACAGTGAATTTTGTATGCGGTAAATTGAAAGAAATTACAGAGTAAAGTGTAACTGGTAAGAACTAAAGCAGACAAGAATGTCTGGGCTACTTTATGCACATGGCAAGGGATCACCGCAATGGTTTCCATTCAAGAAGTCATCTGGTAAATTGCTCCATAAGGTCCTTTTAATCAGACTTCAGTCTTTGAGAAAGTAAATAGAATATGCAGTACATTAATGTTATTCAGAAAACTCCATCTGATAACTATGTGAAAAGCATTTATCCAACATCTCCATTGCATTTAATGGGTCATGTAATTTGACCTCTTGCTATGAAACATAATAACATAGAAAATAGAAGCAGGAGTAGGCCATTTGGCCCCTCAAGCCTGCTCTGCCATTCGTTATGATCATGGCTGATCATCCAACTCAATAGCCTGTTCCTGCTTTGTCTCCCATATCCTTTGATCATTTCAACTCCAAGTGCTATATCCAACTCCTTCTTAAACTCATACAATGTTGTGGCTTTGCACTGCTTTCCGCTGGCACACCACTCTCTAGGTGAAGAAATTTCTCCTCATCTCATTCCCAAATGGTTATCCGGTATCCTTTGAATGTGACCACTGGTTGTGTACATTCCTGCCATCGAGAACATGCTTCCTGCATTTACCCTCTCCAGTCCTTTTCAAATTTTATAGCTTTCTATGAGATCACCCCCTTATTCTTCTGAACTCCAGTGAATATAATCTTAACCCATCCAACTACATCAGTCCTGCTATTATAAGCATCAATGTGGTAAACCTTACATCATTTCCACTATAAACAGAACATCTTTCCTCAGACCTATGAGGTTCGGATAATCACAGTAAGGAGCAGAAATGATTGGGAAAATGCACCATCCCATAACCTGATGAACAGAAGGTACTCAGTAGCAGGTTGAATCTGGGATTCAGAGTTTATTTCAATTAACTCTCAAAGTTGATATCCCCTTCTCAAAACTTTAATTGTATGTTATCTTAATCCAATTATCCATGTGATACAGAATATGAGATACATTTAAATGTAACTCTAAACTAAAAAAATCTTAGCCCAGATGTATGAATTTTACTGGATTGAAATTATATAGTCTCTTGATCTATGAAGAGGGCTAAAAAATGCAAATTTGTAGAATAATGCTCATGCGTAACCAGGTTACTTCATGGGATTTGTAGGGAATTCTCCACTTTGAATAGTTGTAGGAGCTGAGTTTAATTCTGTAAATTGTCTGTGCCTTTCTAAACCTTACAGAAGCAAATAGACTTGAGCATTAAAATCCTCGATCAACCATAAGGAGCTTTTGCATGTCCTGTCTTCATGGAAGCCACAATATTGTTATATAATTAGTTTTAAAAGCATGGGTCATGTGGTTAACAGAAACAATTCAGACCCAAGAATCACATTCTCTGACACGTGCATAAAACAGAGAACACACACCTCATTAAAAAAAACGGAACATTTAACCATTCTGAAATGCAATGTCTGACTCTGGTCAAGCCTTGCAGGCCAAGTCAAATGTGGGGTTCAATAAATGACCAATCCATGGCCAAGCAACTCTGCTGCTGAGGTTATATAATCCCAAATGGTAAAGGAAGATACTTGTGACCAATGTCACAGGAGATCAACAAAGATTATTGTTCACATTTTAACTGGCTGATGTCTGAAAAAGATAAACAGTGCTATATTTGCACGATTACCTTCCAATTACTACGGGAATAACTCTGCTCTTATTTGAGGTTTTTGAGCTTATAAAAGCAGGTGCATTCTCTATGTGCAGTAAAAATGTCTACTTTATTTATTTAACTTTGTTTATTACAGTAGAGCTATTTCAGCTCAGAAAATAAACAAGGACATATTCCTTCGAGCTGTCAGGATTGTGCATTTACTGTATTAGTTTATACCTATTGGCAATGTAATATGAGAAGTTCTTCATTTACACTCAGAGTGATATCAAATAATAAATGTATCTGTTGGTGAGCTGGATCAAGAAATAATCTCATTTCATGATTAGGAAAACAATTCAAACAAATGTGACAAGTGGCTGTTTGAAATGATTTTGAGTTACAGTAAAACAAAGAATGTGATAGAAAGATACAGTTGCTACAATGAAAGGTTAATGTAAAAATCTGGGGATTGGAGCATTTTTCTATTGTTTAGTGATAGACATATCTTCCAGCATTTCTCATTTTTAAATTACAAATTTATCCAGTGAAATGCACTAACAGTGTATTTTTCCAAACTGCAGGCTGCATTCACATTTGCTCCCCAATCTTACCATTGTCCTTATCAGAAGATCACAAAGTCACTAGACAGATACAGATGATGAAAGCTATTCAGCTCATTCTTAACTCATCTATCTGGAACAAGCCTAAGCTCCCTTCACAACACCATTGAACTGTTCTATGTACACAAGGTTTCAAAAAATCACCTATAGAAATATGATGAAGAGTCAGTCAGAACTAATTTAAGATGGAACAATTAGGAGTTATATTTACAATTTGAATGACTTGGGTTGCTCTGTTACAAGGGTGAAGCTAACTTCTTCAGACAGCAGTCAAATAATGACTGCGTGATTGACTAATAATTTTGTGTTAACTGTTTTTGCGGGGCTACTGAACTCACATGTTTTAAATTTTTTTCTAGTAGCTGTTAACCCACTAGAGTCTGATTCAAAATAATTTCTGTGGAGCATTTATTTTGTCAAATAGTTTCGTCATTGGTGATCATAACATTAGCACAGTGAAGTCCAAGGTTTATAAATGGACTCACTTGCCTGTAGAGTTTATGTGTTAGGTGAAGTCTAGACTCAGAGGATCATAGGGCTGTTCTTTCATTAGAGAGAAATGCTGGGTTTAAACCTGATGATTACCACACCTGAGCCGAGTTTGACATGCTGGGACCCTTCATGATGACCTCTGCTGGTATGGAAATTGAACCAGCACTTTTGATATCACTCTGCCTCAGAGATCAGCTGTCCAGCCAAATGACCTAACTTTTGATTTGATTTGACTTATCGTTGTCACATGTACCTGAGAACAGTGCAACGTTTTGTTTTGTGAGCAGTACAGGCAGATCATGACATACAAGGACATAGAGATCACAGGGTGCTTAGACAGAGCGAGGCATACAGGGTTACGGCTGCACGGGAGGTGCACAAAAGCAAGATCAATATTAGATTTGAAATTAGAGAGGTCCATTCAGCAATTTAACAACAGCAGGGAAGAAGCTGTTCTTGAACCTGTTGGTGTGTGTGTGTTCAAGCTTCTGTATCTTCTGCCCGATGGAAGAGGTTGGAAGGGAGTATTACGGGGGTGGGAGGGGTCTTTGATGATGTTGGAAGCCTCTCCACAGCAATGAGAAGTGTAGATGGAGTCCATGGATGGGAGGTTGGCTTCCATGATGGTTTGGGCTGTGTATACAACTTTCTGTAGTTTTTTTCTGGCCCTGGACAGAATGTTTTCCATGGTGCATCTGTAGAAGTTGGTGAGGGTCCTTATGGACATGCTGAATTTCCTGAACCACCTGAGGAAGAAGATGTATTGTGCCTTCTTGACTGTCACATCTATGTGGGAGGTCCAGGACAGATTGACTCTTGGGGTCTATCAATTTTCTGCAATTCACCCTGATCGTGAGGGAAAAATATCATAAACAAAAATAAATCTGATTTTTTCTTTTGTTGCATCATGGACTTCAACCTGATAAATAGAGATGACCATTAGGATTTTGCCGACTCCCCCTCCCTTTGCTAGACTTTGGTGGTACTCAGAACTTAACTGTTGCCTTCAATTTCTGAGATAAGCTGGTATCACTTGGGTCTACCCATACTCCTGGAGGCATTAGAGCAGGCAGTTGGGATATGTTAGCAAATCTTTGAATAGTGGATTACAGCAGGGACAAGAAAGAGAAAGATTCCTCACCATGCAAGAATGTTATGAAAGGGAGAGGAGGGTGTATGACTTAAAATTATCCAGGATAAATTTAAAACTATAAATTATTTTCAGCAGGTGCAGAACTGTTTGTAAATGCATAACGATAAAGCAGATCTGTCATCTTGATTCATTAAAACAATTAGTGCAAGCAGTCAATCTAGTCAAAATCTTTGATCCTGCTGTAAATACAATTGTAAACTAAAACTAGGTTTTACAACATGAAGGAATTTGAAATGTTCTGCAATAGTTGTTGCTCTTTTTCAAAAAAATAAAACACCAGCACATACGGTTTACATGCAATAGTTGTCGGTGAATGTTTCGAATAAGATTTTAAGTCACAGGAAAAGAGGTTTAAACAAAGCTGTGTCGCTAAGTTCTTATGTCGGTAAGCCTTCGATGATAATTTAAATTTGTAATGACCAGGTGAGAAAGAGTGAAGTGGCTCCCCTCTTTTTGATTGCCCCAGTTGCTCACACCAGAATTTTAAGTTTTTTTTTTAGCAAAAGGCGATACCTTTCTCCAATAAAAATGTAGTTGGTTACTTTTTACCGGGAGCAGTAAGAAGTCAATCACAAAGATTTTTTGAGTTAACGAGAAAACAGAAAGTCGAGAAAACTTGACCTGGAAATTAAAGCAGCTACTTCAGTTCACCACTTGCTCCAAAGACATTGGACACCAGGTATCCAACATTTCAAAGTACACTCCAAAGGCATGGCCACACACACCCCACAGCCATAGATAAATGGCATCTGTTCGTAAACCTCATGGAATCCTTATGGTACATCTCCGACCCACTTACAAGACACTTCTTCACTTCAATGCTGCACCTTTTCTGCACTGGCAATTATCAATGGTATAATGCTGAAGCAAGGGCACTGTACACTCAGAGACATGCAATCAA